AAGATACATTACCTATCCACCTTACCGATACTCCTGAATCTGGCACTGAAACTATGGAGGAGGATGTGGCTGAAGACATGCCAATTATTGAACAGTCTTTAAACCCTGAGGTGACAAACTCTGTTCCAGAAACAGTTACTGAAGTTGTAGAAGCCACTAGTGTCAGTCATGAGGTAGGGGAAGATGTTGTCCCTCGCCGCACAGGTCGTACTAGGGCCCCGCCTAGCCGGTTAACGTATACCAAGTTGGGTAATCCCCTTATCTCTGTCGTCCAAACAATGTTTCAAACCCTTTCAGAGTCAGTTCGGTCTCCGGATCCTCCACCCTGCTCCACAGCCGCTCGTGGCGGCTCCGCTCCGGGCACCCCCCAAGGCTCTCCTGTCCCCTGCTCTCCACCAGGTCCCACCCCAGTCACACCCTCCCCTCCGCGGCCTCTGTTTGCACCAACCACGCTCCTGGTGGGGGATTCTATTATCAGACACTGCAAGTTTTTTAATGCCATCACACACTGTTTTTCTGGAGCCACAGTCCCCACCATCCTCATTAAACTACCCGCACTTATTCAGACAGCACCCTCCACAATAACCCGGATCATAATTCATGTCGGCACAAATGACGCTTCACTCCGCCAATCCGAGACCACAAAACGCCATTTTAAGGATCTTTTTAACCTTTTATCAAACTCAGGGAAAACTGTTTTTATCTCTGGTCCTCTGCCCACTGTGAACCGCGGCAGGGAGCGTTTTAGCAGGATTTTATCACTCAACACCTGGCTCAATCAAACATCACTCCATCACAACTTTGGTTTTATAGACAACTTTAATCTGTTCTGGAACCGCTACCCCTTCTTCACACCCGACGGACTTCACATCAACCAACTCGGCAACCAGTACCTGATCTCCAACATCACCCACGCAGTCCAATCCCATCCTACATACCTCTGACAACCCACCCCCACATCCCACATCCCTCCTGCCCGTCTGTGCCCCAGCATCAACCCCTGCTCTCTTCCCCAGCACAAAATTACAGTTTTGTCCAGACCCCGCCCCTACAGACCGTCCATACCCAGGAAACCGTCCTTCACCAACCTCATCACTGTTTCCCCCTGCCCTCTCTCATCCTCTGCTCCCCCCACTTCGAACTATGGACTCCCCATCAACAATAACAACCCATCTACCATCAGGTTTGCCCTTTTAAATGTACGCTCCCTTTTAAATAAGACTTTTACTGTTAATGATTTGATTTTAGAACACGAGCTGGATGGTAGGTTTTTAACTGAGACCTGGCTGGGTCCGGATGCTCCGGCTGTTCTTACAGAGGCCTCCCCCCCCCAATTTTAACTTTGCTTTTAAAACAAGAGAAGGAAAGAGAGGTGGCGGCACAGCCTCAATATGCAGTAACACCCTGGCCACCAAACCTATTGTTTTTAACCAATACTCAAGTTTTGAGTATCACTCTCTTGTTTTTAGCAACCCCAAAATTTTAACAGTAATTATTTATAGGCCACCTAAAAAGTGCAGCCTTTTTATTATTGAATTCTCAGCGTTTTTATCACAGTTACACAATTCTTACAATATGATAATTTTAACCGGTGATTTTAACATACACATTGACAATCCCTCTGACAATTTTACCCTAGATTTCTTAGATGTTCTTAATTACATGGATTTTACCCAACACGTCAGGCAGCCAACACACAACAGGGGACGCACCCTCGACCTGGTCATTACCTATGGCCTGACTGCGGATGTGTCCTCTGTTGTCGACTTGGCTGTCTCGGACCACTACTGTGTGTTTTTTAACATCACTGGTTTTATACAGCGTGAGACCTCTGTGAGAACCGTGAGGAAGCGACATCTAACCCCTGAAGTGGCTGCAAATTTTATCGACATCCTAAACAACACTCCCCACTTGGTTTTACCTGCCCCCTGTGATTTTATAGCAAATGATTTTAACAGTAGACTTAGTTCTGCGTTGGATCAGGTGGCTCCTTTAAAAACAAAAATCATAAAAACAAAATCTGCACCCCCATGGAGAAATGAGGAAGTACGGAAAATGAAACAAGAGTGCAGGGTGGCAGAACAAAGATGGAGGAAAAATACAACAACAATCAACTACGAAATATATAAAAACAATCAAAAAGCATACAATTACATAATTAGAAATCATAAGAACAAATACTTTGCAAATCTAATCAGCCAGAACAAAAATAATCCAAAAATCCTTTTTTCAACCATCGACACCATTTTAAACCCTGATTTTAGCATGTCTCTTTTAACCCCCACAGACTCCCTCTGTGAGGATTTTGCAGTCCACTTCACGGGGAAGATAAATACAATCAGATGTAACATTTTATCCAACCGCACTACTGTTTTTAACACATCTGATTGTTTGTCTTCACCAGAGGAAACACTGGACAGTTTTGTCCTGGTTGATGCTGAGATGCTTGATAAAGTTTTCTCCTCAGTGAGGCCCACCACATGTCTTTTGGATCCAGTCCCCACTCCATTTTTTAAGTCATTTTATGAATCTTTTAGAGAGGAGCTTTTAAACCTGATGAATTGCTCTCTTCAGACTGGGGTCTTTCCTGCAGCCTTCAAAGCGGCTGTGGTGAGACCCCTTCTGAAGAAGAGCAATTTAGATTTTAATGATTTTAACAACTACAGACCAGTATCCAACTTACCATTTTTAAGCAAAATTTTAGAAAAACTTGTTTTTACGCAGCTCAATGCCTTTTTAGATCAGCAGCAAATTTTAAAGAAATTTCAATCAGGTTTTAGGGTGAACCACAGCACAGAGACTGCTCTTTTAAAGATTTTAAACGATTTTAGACTAAGTTATGATTTCAAAAAGGTGACTGTGTTGGTTCTACTGGATCTTAGCGCTGCCTTTGATACAGTAGACCACACAATTCTTTTATCACGCCTACAACACCTCGGCCTCTCTGGTGCTGTCCACAAATGGTTCACTTCTTATTTAACAGACAGATCCTTCATGGTAAGTTTGGATACCTGCTCCTCTCAGGTCCATAAAATCACATGTGGTGTGCCCCAGGGTTCCATTTTAGGTCCAGTCCTTTTTAACCTGTACATGCTCCCTCTTGGCGGTGTCATCAGGAGACATGGAATTAACTTCCACAGTTATGCAGATGATACACAGCTGTACATCTCCATGTCTCCTGACGACACCAGGCCAATGGATGCTCTTTTTAACTGCATTTTAGACCTGAAATCCTGGATGGCAGAAAACTTTCTCCAGCTTAACCAGGACAAAACTGAGGTTTTAGTCATCGGTCCTGAGGCCCAGAGAGAGAAACTTTTATCAAAACTCCAATCACACTCTTTTAATCCATCATCACAAGTGAAAAATCTGGGCGTAATCTTTGACTCTGAGCTGACTTTTATTCCTCACATCAAGAGTATCACAAAAATAGGTTTTTATCATCTAAAGAACATCGCCAGAGTCCGCCCCATTCTCTCTCGGGGCAACACGGAGACGCTGATGCATGCTTTTATCACCAGTCGCATTGACTATTGTAATGCCCTGCTCTCTGGTCTTCCCAAAAAGAACATTTCAGGTTTACAATTACTTCAAAACTCGGCCGCACGTGTCCTGACTAAGACCAGGGGGCGGGACCACATTACACCGGTTTTAAAATCGCTGCATTGGCTCCCCGTGTGTTTCAGAATCGATTTTAAGGTTCTTTTAATGGTTTTTAAATGTCTTAATGGTCTTGGGCCTTCTTATCTTTCAGATTTGCTTTTATCCTATGAACCTTCCCGGCCCCTGCGCTCCTCCGGCAGCAGACTCCTAACCATCCCCAAAGTCAGGACACACACTCATGGCGAGGCATCTTTCCAACACTACGGCCCCCGTCTCTGGAACAGTCTGCCGGAGGAGCTCAGGGCCGCAGAGAACGTTCATATTTTTAAAAGTAGGCTCAAGACGCACCTTTTTAGAGTAGCTTTTGATTAGTTTTTATTATTCCATTCTATTTATCTTTTATTATTTATTATTTATTATATTGCTATTGCTATTATTCATGTATTGTGTGTTCCTTTTAGTCTCACATTTTAGTGTTTTACTTATTGTATTGTTTTTAGTGTACCCAGTGTTTCCTCTGGAGGAGCCCTCTGCACTGGGAGCAGTGGTCGGTGTTGGCTGCGGGGGTCGGACTCTTGGGCCTGGTGGGGGCCTGGGGCCTCGGTTTCATGTCTCCTCTGGGTCCTGTGTCGTCCCCTGTGGCTACGGGCGGCTCTCTGCTCCTGGTGCAGACGGCTCCTTGGATGACGCTTTTTCAGCTGGTTGCATCTGAACCCTGCCAAGTCTCTCATCATGTTTTTATTGTTTTACTGGTGTGTGTGTGTGTGTGTGTGTGTGTATGTGTGTGTGTGTGTGTGTATGAGTGTTCATGAGCGTGTGTGTGTGTGTTTGTCTGTGGTTTGGGGTGGGTCTGTTGGGTGGTCTGGGGGAGGGGTCTTGGGTCGGCGGGATTGTTTTTAACCAAACTGTAAAGCACTTTGTGTTGCATCTTATGTATGAAAAGCGCTTTATAAATAAAATTTGATTGATTGAGATGCTTACGCTGACGCTTTAAACCGCGCTGCTGTAATGGATATTTATCCCAAACGTAGTTAGCTTTCCCTCGTCTCAACATGCAACGGGACGTGCATGGTCTAAAGGGGGGAGGGTGTAACCCAGATATATTTTGATATTCTTAAAATATTTTTAAAAAGTATAATGATATTGTTCATGTAATTTAAAATATCCTTACATTTAAAATCATGTTTTTACCTGTGAAATAAAATGGTAACCAGGTTCCGGGTCAGTACCACTAATACAATCACTACAGGTACCCAGAGCCCAGGTCAGTACCACAAGTACTACAGGTACTACCAGTACTGCAGAGGCCGGGTCAGCCCTTGTATCTGTAGTGCTCTTGTACTCTGTAGTACTTGTGGTACTCTGTAGTACTCTAGTACTCACAGTAGTTTCTGCAGGTGCTGGTCGTACATCGGCAGGGTTTGGAACCTCAGAAGTCAGTCCCTCTCCCTCTCTTCTGGCTGTTTCACCACGGCAACCGTCCAACATGAGCTTTTCCACGCACTCGGCTTCACCCACGAACACTCCCGCTCCGACCGCGACGACCATGTGACCGTGCACAACCAGAACATCCAATCAGGTGAGTCATGTGACCCAGGTGACAGGGGGAGGAGTCAGGGGAGGAGATTTGTAGTTTAATCATCTGATTGTCTCTCAGATAAACTGCACAACTTCAACAAGTACAAAACCAACAACTTGTACACGCCCTACGACTTCAACTCCGTCATGCAGTACCACAAGTGAGTACAAGTACTTCACCTGTTGTTACTTCTGCTACTGGTACTACTGCTACTTTTACTACTGATGCTTCTAAAGCCTTGTTTTTCTCCCCCTCCTCCTCATGTGTGTCCCCCCCCCCCCTCCTCCTCCTTCTCCACCTCTTCTTCACTTCCTTCTCTTCCTCACCTGTGTCCTCCTCCTCCTTAGTTGGGCCTGGACCAGTAACAAGAAGGCGACTCTGACCTCGAAGGAAAACCCAGGGTTGAGATTTGGATTTGCGAAGGTTGCAAGCGACAACGACATCCTGCGGGTGAACCGCTACTACAAGTGCAATGTCTGAGTACTGCAGGAGTATTGCAAGAGGACTGCTGTACTACAGTTCAGAAGTACTGCTGTACTACAGTTCAGAAGTACTCAGAGGAGCTTTCTATTTTCTACTTTGGAAATATTTTCACTTTCACTTTGAATATAAAGCTCTTGTGTGTAACTTTGAATCATCACTGTGTGTTTTTTAAACTCATGTATGTGTTCATAAAGAGGAGGAGATAGATAAGAGGAGAAAAGGAGAGAGGAGAGCGATGGAGAGGACAGGGGGGAGAAGAGGGGAGAGATAGTGGAGAGATAAGAGGGGAGAGAGAAGAGACAAGAGCGGAGAAAAGAGGAGAGAGAAGACAGGAGAGAGAGAAGACAGGAGAGAGAGAAGAGGGTTGAGCAGAGAGAGGGGAGGAAAGAGGAATGGAGAGACAGAGGTGAGAAGTGGACAAGGAGAGAGAAGTTGGAGGTGAGAGAGAGGAGAAAGGAGAAGAGATGAGAGAAGAGAGGGTTAGGAGAGAGGAGAGAAGTTGGTGGTGAGAGAGAGGAGAGTAGAAGAGAGGGTTAGGAGAGATGAGAGAGGAGAGGAGAGAGGGTTAGGAGAGAGGAGAGGATAGAGGAGGATGGAGAGAAGAGAGAAGGTGGAGGTGAGAGAGAGGAGAGGAGGAGAGAGGGCTGGGAGAGAGGAGAGAGGGTAAGGAGAGAGGAGAGGAGGGAACTTGGAGGTGAGAGAGAGGAGAGAGGGTTAGGAGAGAGGACAGGACCGGAGAGGAGAGGAGAGAGGGTAAGGAGAGAGGAGAGGAGAGTGGATCGAGGAGAGAAGAGAGAAGTTGGAGGTGAGAGAGAGGAGAGGAGGAGAGAGGGCTAGGAGAGAGGAGAGGAGAGAGGATAGAGGTGAGTGGAGAGAGGAGAGAAGTTAAAAGTGACGTTGCGGGCTCAGCGGGACGTGTCACAGCATTTATGGAGCATGCCTGGGGGTGGCTGGGGAGGGGAAATGGGGCAGGGGGAGAGCAAAGAGGGGAGCAGCTGAGGACAAGTAACCGTGCTGCGAAACCTTGACACCAACAAGAGAAGAAGAAATACTCAAAGGCTGCCGGCGTCTCTGTGCCTGTCCTGAGCTGACATTATAGAAACGACTGGTCAAATGATGAGATCACACCGCTGCAAGCTGTCCACTGTTTTCTTTTAATAGGCTGGTCCTTCACTTGTCCAGGTTTCATCCTAGTTTATAGTTCCAAGTGCACTCCCAGGTAAAACAAAGCCCTCTTCAAACACCCAGGCCTTTATCCCTTCCCTTGTTCTTAAGTTCAGAAGAGGACATTTTCTCTGATGTAAAGCCGATGGGAGAAAAGACTAAAACACTAGGGTTTCTCTCGGGAAATTCATTTATCTTCTTGTTAGCCTGTGGGAATTGTTTATAGCTGCGTAACTACGACACGGTAGACGTTTTCTGCCATTACTCCTGCATGTCGGCTATATCTCTGGATGCAAAACTACGACTTATTCTTTGTGAAGCCGACCCGACCAAGCGCGGGGACAGGCTAAGCATCTTTGCCGTTTCTATCAATGCAAAAAAAAAAGGGGGTGGAATCATTCAATCACAAAAGCGCGATTGTAGTCAGTTGAAAGGACTTGCTGTCTGTATGCGAATAAATATCCAATTTGCGGGTCCAATTTTTGCTGCTTAGCCTTCAGAGAGCAAGACAGGAGCTGGGCAAATACATCCAATTGTATGTGTATGTGTGTGTGCGTGTGTGTGTTTGTGTGTACGGTCATCAGGGTGGGGGTCCCGGCAGGAATAGCGGCCCCCCTCTCGGGCTCTTGCTGCGGCGATCAGAGGCAGGTGCGGATCCCCTTTTGATGTGCCTCCAGCGGAGTGCTTTGGCCCGAGCCTTTGATTCATTGGCTCCATTTCGAGTCCTGGATTGCGTGGCTCCTTTGTGTGTTTTGGTTCATTGTGGAGGAGCTCGGAGGCCGCTACACCCACGCCTTCGCCGCGAGTACATGTTTAAACGGCGTGCGGGAATCTGTTGGCAGTAGCAACCGGTTATTCTTGTCCTGTTTTATTACTAATACTACTGCTTTGTGCATGACAGAGAGTATTGATTAGATTAGATTACAGATCAGACTTACAGCCAGACCTGTTCTGTATGTTTGTATATTTAGAACAATTCCAAGAAGGAGAATCGTAGAATTGTATAAGAAAATAATTAAGTTGATTTCTATTTTTATATTTTTCAACAACAGAACAGAGACACAGCCAGGTCCAGGACATGCAAATTAATGAAAAAGGCACTTAGCAAAAAACAGAAAAAGAAAAACACGTGAAGAAGTACAGTATATGATGATTTAAGACTATCCTCAGCACTGTCTTAGTTGTTGATATAGCCTCTTTGACATTTAATTTAACATTATTTCAACAAATAAAGCTACAATGTGCTTGGCTTCACAGATGCACCATGTTTTTGACATTTAAGAGAGAAATACAGTCGAAAAATAACAATTTGGTTTCATCACTATGGCTTACAAAAATCTGTAGGCAGCAATATTATCATAGTGTGGACTTTTTGTTACAGACTTTTACCTGGGTTTGTTATGTCACGTATATGTTCTGTTCAGGTGATTGCCTCCCCCACTGTCACATGCTTCACTTGTGTCTCCCTGTGTGACCAGAAGTAGCAGAATATGACTATTTATGGTAACAAGTGTATAATTATTATATTTAAGAGAAATATCTGATGTTTATGTAAGTTCTGCCTGTAAATGTAACTAAAACATTTGAACTCCTGTACAAAGAAAGATTATGTAATAAGTTGTAGTAAACAAAACTTTTTTATAACAACTCCTTTTCGAAATGTGTATATATGTGTTATCCATCCATTTTCTTCCCTTCAATCCATTTCTGGGTCGGGGGTGGCAGTCAGACTTGCACCCATTTAACAGAGCACCAGCCATTCTTTTTTACTGTATTGCACAATATTAATAATAATTTGAAATAAAGATTACTACTACTACTGTTACTACTACTACTACTATTAAAAGTACATGCTACAATTAAAGGGTCTAAAGCCCAGAGAGCCAATGAGAGCTCAGCCCTTCAGACGCAGCTCAACCCTGTGCTCCTCTCTTCTGTTGTTTGTCTCTGTTTCTTTGTTGTTTGGAGTCCTGGATTTTGTCATTTTTGAGTATAAACTAAATCTTGTTTGTTTTGCAGTCCTTTGTTCTACATTCATGACAAAAATCTGCAATGCTTAAATTCCCCCTTGAACTAAATGCGTTCTGCTTCCATGGGGTTGTTTCATTCTACATTCACCTGATTTGCCCTTTTTTATCCATAGCCTTGAAAAACCGCATGTGGAACCTCCGACGTCAGACTGAACTCCCTCAGACCAGATGCTGCAGAACATGTTTGTGTGTTGTATTCTGGGATTTCACGCTAAGATTAGATCAGGGATTTCATAAAAGCCGTAATGCATGGGTTAAAGTTGAAAAAATTCCTGAGCCTGAACCATCTATATCAGGGGTGTCAAACTCATTTTGGTCCGGGGGCCACATACAACCTAATCTGATCTCAAGTCGGCCGGACCAGGAGATGCTCTACAAAAATATCCAAAAACGGTACAAAGTCCAACTTTTTGTGCACATAAACACATTTATTTAAAACTTCCTTTAAAACACTATCCTTTAATACTCAGTTTTCTGTTACAAACTTAAATGTAACAGTGAGTTTTCCATAGTGCAAATAATGTAGCGTATTTACAATATTACATTGAAAATGGTATTTCACAATATGTATATTAATATTTGTGTGTTAGCTTTGTTTTAAGGCTCATTACAGAGAAAACCTGCTCACAAAGGTAAAGTAGGTAGATAGAAAAAAGCACTTAAACACAGCACCTCAGCTTAACCATCTTCAGTGTGTAAGGTCCATGGTTATGTTATTATCACATTAACCATCTTCAGTGTGTAAGGTCCATGGTTATGTTATTATCACATTAACCATCTTCAGTGTGGTAAGGTCCATGGTTATGTTATTATCACATTAACCTTCTTCAGTGTGGTAAGGTCCATGGTTATGTTATTATCACATTAACCATCTTCAGTGTGGTAAGGTCCATGGTTATGTTATTATCACATTAACCTTCTTCAGTGTGGTAAGGTCCATGGTTATGTTATTATCACATTAACCATCTTCAGTGTGTAAGGTCCATGGTTATGTTATTATCACATTAACCATCTTCAGTGTGGTAAGGTCCATGGTTATGTTATTATCACATTAACCATCTTCAGTGTGGTAAGGTCCATGGTTATGTTATTATCACATTAACCATCTTCAGTGTGTAAGGTCCATGGTTATGTTATTATCACATTAACCATCTTCAGTGTGTAAGGTCCATGGTTATGTTATTATCACAGAGAAAGCATCAAACTGACCATGATTCAGTTGAAATGAATAAAACAACTTCCATAACCAAAGCAAAGGAAGGTTTCTCACCCATCATCTGTACTTCTTAGCAAGTTTTACTTCCATAACGTGATTCATTCTTAACGACTGCAGCAGTGTCTCTGTGTAAAATACAGTCAAATGTCCAAAAATCATCACCTCCATTTGCAGCTTTGTCACTACACCTGTTTTTACCATCGGTACCAGTCCACACTGTCCAACACACCAGCAACAACAGCAGAACCAGCAGCAGCACCAGCAGCAGCGCTCAAAACTCCTCTGATAGTTTCAGTAACACCACAAATGAATATGTGACATCAGTAACATCAGTCTCTTATCAATGGCAACATGTTGGTAAAAGCGAGTGGTTTCTCAGACCATGTCTGCAGCCTGTGAGAGATTTAACAAACTCTCTCTCACTGTGCGGCTGCGATGCTAATGTTGTTAGCACAGGTAGCTTCCCTTCACAGCAGCAGAACTAACCTCTTGCTCTGGGCACAAACAGACTGCTGCCTTCAGGGCCAGACAGGTTTATCTTCTGTTTTCTCAATTCTTCGCTCAAAGTGCCGTATTTTTCGCCGAGT